CTCGTCACATGGGTTTGGCGATTCAACCGTCGGACCGTTGGTTGTACATCCCACCCTAACGGTCATACATTAGGATTGCTGGCTGCACCGCCCCCCCAGGTGGTCCGTACTGCAGGACCAAAGCGTGGCACTGCACTCGGGGGGCAGTGAGCTCACTAACTTGCTGTTTGTTGATGATGCATCACTCTTAGCCACTGGCTGCGAGCGGGCACAATGCCTTCTTGGTTACTCGAGATGTTTTGCAAGGCGACTGGGATGGCTGCTAACGGAGCCAAGTGTGAGGTGCTTGTCTTCAGGGGCACACCTACTGAGTGGGGGTCGCTCGTGGGCTACGTGTACCGGCTGGGCGGGGAGATGTTGCGTGTATTGCCCCATAATGAAGCGGCACAGTACCTCGGGATGCACTACGGGACAGGCCAACGGTTTGCCTCACTTCTCTCTGTCGTGAAAAGAAACGTACCGTACCCAAGCTCAACTTGTCATTTTATAATGCGCTGGCCTTGCCTGTCCTTTCCTACGAAGTGCAAGTGTGGGGATCCGGGTTTTTTAATGTGAACTTCGAGAATGCCGAGTGACAAATCCATATGGTCCTGGAGCAGCGCGCGCGCTCATATGGACGGTGGTAGGGGCCAGGAGCCTAACCAAGCTTCTGCTGTACTGTGAGCTGTCACAGAGGCCACTACAATTATGTTTTGGAAAGTCGGGCACCCAATGTTACAGAGCTTTTGTCGCTGACCTGCACTTGGCCGCAACACAGAATGTTGGGCCAGCAAGGTCACAACCTTTCTTACCAGCTTGGTTGTAAGCCCCCTGGCTGATCCTGCCCTCAACCTGCCCCAGGGAAGGGAAGCATCCTGAGGGATTTTGTGAAGAGGAATGTTCAAGCAGCTATGTCTACAGTAATTTACGGAAAAGCTTTTCACGGAGCTCACATCGATACAACTCAGGCATCAGGTTCTCATATCGCGGCTCAGATGAAAAACAAACAAACAAACAAACAAACAAACAAACAAACAAACAAACAAACACACAAACACACAAACACACAAACAAACACACAAACAAACACACAAACACACAAACAAACACACAAACACACAAACACACAAACAAACAAACAAACAAACACACAAAAAAACACAAAAAACACACACAAACACACACACAAACACACACACACAAACACACACACATACACACGCACACACACAAACACACACACAAACACACACACACATACACACACACATACACACGCACACACACAGGCACACACACACAGGCACACGCACACACACACACATCTGGCTCTTTGACTCCTGTGTCCCTCCGTTCCCTTCCCTCTCATCCTCCGCAACAGATCACTGACACCACCAAAGCGCTCGGCAATGCGCCGACAATTAACGACATCTATGACACCACCAGCACCACCTGCTTCCCACATCAAAATGGGACCTGATGTTCCACCAACACTCCTCTCACGCTCTCGCTTCCTCCATCCCCCTCGCCCTTGCTACGACTCACACCCTCTCGCTCGCGCACGCGCGCCAGACGCCGCGCGCATCTCCTTTCGCATACGCTTATCCCTCTGTCTTCCCCTCTCTCTTTTCCGATTAGGAGACTCTTGCGACGACGGATCAACCTTTGAAAGATGCCAAGACGCAAGACGCCACTTTTGGCCTCACTTCTCTCTGTCGTGAAAAGTCGAGTCACTCCTATCACTTCAGCACTCCTTACTCCTCATCAAAATTTTCTCACACACACACACACATGGCTAGCCCAGCGAGGAACTGGTACACACTTGATTCAAACCAAATACGACAATGAAAAGTTAAAACGTCCACATAGGAACAAATACAAATACGCTGCGATCGCATTACGGCGTGGCAGTGCTTGCTCTCTCCCTCGTTCCGCTCCACCTCAGGCAGCCCTCTTCACACACACACAAAAAAAACATACAGACTGGCAGACAGACAGGCTGACAGACAAATAGATGCGCACCCCCTACTCTCCTCGATTTCGCCCGTACCAAGAGTCCGAAACCCGCTCTCCTCCAGATCGAAGGCCTCGACGTTCCTCAAACCCTCCACCGCCACACTCACAAACCGCCGAGCGGCACTACTCCCCACTCCCCGCTCCTGCCAGAACTCAGCCTAATACTTAATACTACCTGGAACCCCTTAAAACCTCCTCACAAGACCTCCAAAACCAACCTCCGCCAGTTTCCGTCTGTCGGCCCGTCAACGCCCCTCCCCCACACATCTCTACCTAGGTGCAGGGCGGGGAGGGGAACTCCCCGATGTCCGTACACCGCAAAGGGGCGAACTGGGTCACATCCAAACCCAACCGGAACGGGGAGAGCTCCTCCTCCCCGCACTTGCCGCGGAGACCTTTGGAGCGGGGAGCGGGGAGGGGGGTAAGACGAACCACAAACGAGTGAAGGTGCTGCCAGGGCAAGAGGGGAGGGGGAGGGGGGGGGGATGGGGGGGGATGACGAACCACTGGCGAATGGAGCAGATACCAAAGATAGACGGATAGTCCAGGAGGAGGAGGGGGAGGAAGGGGGCAATTCTAAGGGAAACCACTACTGCTGGCGGACGTCCATCAAAGCTGTCAAACAACAGCTGAAGGGGAGGCCTACTAGAAGGCAAGAGATATACCCGGGGGCACTGAGAGGGGGAGGGGAGCGGAGGGTAAAGCGAACACAGACCCGCCACCCGAACGTCAACACCACCACAAGAGCGGCAAGGGGTTTCAGGAACTACATACCTACATACCTAACTCACGCCATCCGCTGAGCCTACCGTTTACCACTAACGCACCTGCGATCTTCCTCGCCAGGGTGATGCCGCTGACAGCCGCCGCCTGCAAACTGCCCCCAGTCAGCCAGTCGCCACAGACCCCCACCTGGGTGAGGGGAGGGGAACGAGGGCGGGAGAGCAGGGCTCGGGAAACGGGGGAAAGTGACGCAAGCGGATCACAGCGGCCCCCATACACACAAACAATACCCCCTCACACACACACACGCACACACACACACACAACACACACACTCTCTCTTCTCCCCACGCGCGCCCCATTCGCTCACCCTGCTATCTGGATCCAGAATGCACGGCACTCCCGGACTGTTCAGCGGCAGAGCAGCTCCCCACAGCTGCACGCGAGTGAACACGGGTCGAGGCCACTCCTTCACGCTGCGAGAGGCTCCGGGCCCCGTCACGGCCTGCTTGAAGGCCGCCAACATCTCCTCCGCCACCTTATCCGCCACCTCAGCAGGAATGGCCTCCTGGGGTACCTGCGAGAGAGAGGGAGGTGGAGAGTGGGCGAGAGTTGTACGACATGGAGTACGACATGGACGTGACGTATGACAGCCAGGACAGGTACGTACCTTGTTTGCCTGTCCGTACGCGTTCGTCGAAAAAAGCGTCCAGCACTGAATGTCGCTGGGGGTGTGTCTGTATGTCCCGTTGTCGCGGAGTATGTTTGTGTGTTTGGGGGGCAATGGGAATAGTAGCGCAATGTAAGAAAACTCAGGAAAGATGAAATGTACGACAAAGCTCGATATTTGTGGTTCTGTAAGTAAGCTATTATTTGTTGGTAATACTTGCTACCGCTGTTGCAGTTCTCTGTACGACACCTACAATGATCAAGATGGCCTGAATGCCCAATGTACGACGCACACCTATAGAAGTGCACCCCGGTACCCTGCACGCATCCATCGTATGCCGGAGCAAGTAATGAGCGTAAGGTCATCCATCCATCCATCCCTCCATCCCTCCATCCATCTATGACCATCCATGAAACCTTTATCCCTCACTGTCACAATGTCGCACTCATCCGTACCCCAAACCCCCGCCACCCCACCCCACCTTAGCCCCATTTTCGCGGTGTTGTTCCCCGCCCAACTGAGAATCGGACTGCCTTGGATGAAAGCACCTGAGGGGCGGCGTGTGCAAGAATGTATGTATGAATGTCAGTCTGTGTGCGTGGCGTGTGTGAGTTGGAGGGGCATGGGCGTGTGTGAGTTGGAGGGGTATGGGCGTGTGTGAGTTGGAGGGGTATGGGCGTGTGTGAGTTGGAGGGGTATGGGCGTGTGTGAGTTGGAGGGGTATGGGGGCCCCTGTCCACGTTGAGAGGAGGGGTCAGGGCGGTGAAGGCGGGTAAGGGGGCGGGGGGGGAGGGCGGGGGGAGAGGGGGGGGAAGAGGGCGGGGAGGAGAGAGGAGAGGGGGTAAAGTGGATGTGAGCGGTAATAACAGCAAGCGGAAGGTTCTAGGGGGGACGAAGACGGGAGGGTTGCATGTACGGCATCCCGTACATGCAGCGTTCCCCCGTCAATACCCCCTCCTTCCCAACCTACCTTCAAACGGCACGGGCAGTGGTCCATCGAAGGCGACCATCAGCGCCCAAACCGCGTTCAACCTCAACCGCATTAACTGCTGGGCGACACGGGGCGCACCTGCCAGGGGGTACGGCGTTAAGGGGATGTTCCCGCGGATGTACGGCAGTACATGGATGGCTTCCCAGCAGGGGTGAAGAGGCGGAGAGGAAGAATGTGTGCAAGAAGAGACTCAGGAAAAGGGATCAAGTACGGAACGGGGATGGAGTACGACATGATGCTTGCTGCAGACAATGCAATGTAATACTTTGTTCGATGCCCAGCTCCAGCTGATGCGCGCATGGCCCGGCCATTACCAGGTCCAGTTACGGTCAGTAGATTGACCGGCCTCCAAATTTTACAATTTTCGGGTATTTCCAGGGTTTTTTCGCCCTGAAAACACCTAACC